TATATATTAGTTTGTATTAATATTTTGTACAATATTTATATTAATATTATTTTTAGATTTGAATGTTTTAAAATTTAATTTCAGTTAACATGTTTTTTTTTATTTCAAGTAATATTCTTTATTATTTACTGCAGTTTACTTTATTACACTTTCTTTTTTCAGCTATTGCATAGTCATTAGTATTAAGAAAAAAATAACAAAAATTGCCATATAAAAAGGTCCAGCCTAACATAACTTAAGTGTCAGAGGACTGCCAAGTACTGAAATTCTTAGCTATTAATTCACACATAATGTTTGGAATGCCAATATTTCTCACCACTAGATGTCAGCAGCAGAATCTTTACTGATGCAATGAAAAACAAGCAAGTTTAACAACAGTTTTATTATTAATGATAAAATATTACATGGTACACTGTTAAATATGATGTGATCAACAAGTCAACATGTATTTTTCATTACTTTAAGTTAAATAAGATTCAAATGGACAAGATTTTTTTTTTTTTTTTTTTTATTAGTTTGAATGATTTGTACAGCCAGTTTGATTATACTTAAAACTGGACTTAGATTCAAATAGGTTTATTTATTTTATTTTATTTTTTTACATTGACAAGGAATGATTGTGAGCATCAGTAGTTAAAATGGAAAGCGAGAAACCACTAGAATAAAATAATTCACAAAAATAAAGAGAGATGCCAACCTGGTACAGAATGACATGCAAGACACATAATTCAGCAGCAAAGATTAAGATGGTTGGTTCTACCTAAAGGTGGTGATGCCAGCAGAAACAAGAACTGATCAACACCGAGTATCAAGTAAATGTGAGAGGAAGAGGAGAATGTACACACATGTAAATATGTAATAGATTTAAATCTGAATAGCTTCACTTTCTAAACACACGGATGTCAGAAGTTCTAGGCCCTTGACTTATTAAATAGATAACTATTTAGGTTATTTACAAATGAGTCAAAATAAACCAGGTTATGTGATATAATGACAGGACTGTAGACACTGATCTTCTGTGATAGTACCTCTGCAAAGAAGTATAATGACGTTATAACGTCACAAACACATTATGTGGCTGTTTCAACTAGTACAATGACACTTAAATCTTATACTCTTTGTAAACAGAGAAAGATTTCCAAAGTATACACGTACTATCTGCAATACCTAGCAAACACAGTACGTTGTGACGATGTCGCCAGTTGGTCGTCATTTGGTCAGCTTGACATTACTTTGACAATGTCGCAAGGACGTCAAGGTAACGTTCCATTTTTTTAATTTATTTTTTTTTTCATTTTGTCTGACATTCCAGAAACATTGTGGGCACCTCCTTAAAATACGTCGCTAGTTAGTCCCGTGTAGAACGTGTCTCCAGATAACTTTTCAAATTATTGCACTACATGTATTATCTTTGTTAAGATGTATGCCATTTGGATATAATATGGGAAATACTCTGAAACATGTTATCAAACATTTTAAATTATGGCATATAGATATAC